AAGAGATACATAAAGGACTTGTAAGCAAGCCTTACATTCCCTTTGCTTCTGTACTACAATAAAAAATATTTTAAAAAATCCATAAAGTGTCATTTTCATGCAAATTTTTTTTATCATCACCAAATTGTCAGTGTGGAATTCAGATTGAGATCCATTTTATTGTTACTTACATTTTATTTTCAAACATGTCATTTTACTAAGATTGATAATTAATGCTTTTATTCAACAATGTTTTGCGTGCAATCGGCATCAGATAGAGTGCCTCATTCTGAAGAGCGGATAATTATAGGCCATAACATTTGCCTTAGCAATACACAGGCAGAACCCCAGGAGTTTAATCTTTCTTTGTGTTGCCCGGTTCCCCCCGTAGATTGGGAACACCTGTAAGGCTCCATCTAAGCACATTAACATAGAGTTAATTATCCTGATTAGAGAAAGTCCTTTCATGCTCAGAGGCTGCTGCGTGCTAAGGCAGCCCTTTGAAGAGACTGCGCATATTAGCCCTTTTCTAATGTGGGCAATTTTATCTGAAGCACCGATAATTATATATCATAAAATGCTTGTCCTCTTTAAGATCTTATTATTTACAGATCTTAAAAAAAGCATCTGGCTGATCATCTATCGAATGTATCTGTCCCAACCGGCTTGAAGTGCCCAAAATGAGCCTTTCTTGAACAAAATTTAAACAGAATGGGGGACATTTATTTTACATTCTAGCAAAATCGACTATTATTATATATTTTTTATAATTTTACAATTTGTATTTATCCCATTTTTTAGACCCATTTTCTTTATCAAATATCAAAGCAGGGTGTAAGGGAAAGAGAAAAAATGTGGTAACCTGTGTGCTTTTCATAGCAATTTATTCCAAATGAGTTTTATTTTAAATGTGTTCCATGTGTATTTTATATATTTGTTCTTTAGAGTAGTATATTAATGTCACCACAATTGAATAAAAGATTCATAGATCATTACAGCACTGCCTATCTTGCATTTCCTGAATGTGCTTCTTTACGATCTCATTGCTATGGGTTTACTAGATCTGGCAATCTTGTGTTCACTTTAAGTAATCATGTAGATCAACAAAAAAAATGATGAAATGGTGAAATTATGTGACATCCATGAGAAAGGTATTCATTGTTAAAATAATTGCTTACTACCTCAGGGCATTGCTAATACTTTGCGGTCATCACCAGGAAGACAGGTTTCTCTAACACCATGTGTATGTTGGTCATTCCTATTTTTTTTTTTTATTATTTCAAAACAAGACACAACTGAATATTTCAATGTTGTGTCCCACAGGTTTATGCAAAGCAGATGGCAGAGATGCCTCCGACCATGAAGGGCAGTACGCCACATCAAAGCCTTGCCACGTCTTATCTGTGCAGCCTGGACCCTAATGGTAAGCAGTCACAGAACGGATTATAAAGTTACATAGAGTTCATGAGTGTGGTCCCTGCTAATACCTTCAGGAAGGAGCAGGAGACCGGAATGTTATGTGCTTGTATTTGCAGGATGGAAAGTGCTGTCATGGAGACCCAAAACAGGATCCATCTCACAAACAGAACCACCCTTCTTTTTGTCTTTATGTCTATGTATTACACACACACATCAGCACATTTCTGATAAAATGCACACTGACAGTGCTCATTACATCATATAATTATAAGGATTCTGATCTTAGTCATTTTGACTTTGGATCTTAGTAGATACAATAGTCAATAAGTCATGATAATGCCCTTCGTAAGCACATAGTGTGGTAAATGGACTTGATAGTTGAAAACTGATTTCACTGTGGTTAAGGTAACATTCAGTATGTAAGGTGGAACTCAAGGAATCTAGAGTTATAAGTTAGTTTTAGGTCTAGCTTACTGCATATCACATAGAAATATAGAGACATTAAATAAAGGAAAACAAAGTCTAAAAAAAAATATTATTTTCTTTACTTTCTGTTAAAAAAAACACGTCCAATAAAAATACCAGGACACTACAAACATATTTATGCCACAATTTATTGTAAATGAAGAAATATGCTTGTATTAACATGGTTGAAACATGGAGCTTGGTAATGGTGCAGTAGATAAAAATGTGTAGTTCAATCACAGAGGGAGGAGGAGGTGAAGGGGTTATTGTACAGATCACATACAATGGGAGGATGGAGATGAAGGGGGTTAATGTGCAGGATGAGGTGACGGGGTGAATATACAGTCACATACAGAGTCAAAATGGAGCTGAGATAGGACAGGAGAGGAGGGTGGTGAAAGTGTTAAAACGATCCCACAATCTAATAAATACTTTGAATCTGGTGCTGCCTGTGATCTTCTACTAATGAATAATTTGTGTATTCATTACTTTCTTACTTTCCTCTGCTGTGAGAGAAAGGGGAGGGCTCACAAATGTAAACACTAGTGTGTTTACATCTGTGATCGCTGTGATTGGTCATTACAGTGATCACAAGGTATCCATTCCGATCCGTTCTGTACATTGTGTCTGGTAGAGAGCTGGGTGGGGAGATGTGGAAGGGCTCTGCATCTCCACGCCTGACTCTTAGCAACCTGGGATGCTCTGGCCAGAAAGGCCCCCCCCACATGACCCAAAGAAATGCTGCCTGAGGCAACAATCCCGGGCTGCCTCATAATAGGGACGACCCTGGTTTCTGACATCTGATGGGTTAGATCACAACCATTAAAAGGTGAATTTCTGAAATCTACCCTTTACACCAATTTTTTATTTTTAAATACAATGGTACAGAGCTTGTTAAATAAGCAGCAGCTAATACAACTCTTGGGCATCGAAGGGGAATCTTTTCTGCCTCTCATATCACTTCTATGAGTGGTAGCCAGCTGCTCTGGGGAACTTTTCAAGACACATATGACTTCCTGTCTAGTCATCAGATACAAGATACTTGCCAACTGTCAAATGTAACCCTTCATTTGCCCAAGATACCATCTAATACAGCACAACTGGCTGCACAAAAAAGTCCCATACATGACATCATGACATCTGTCTCATTCTCTTGTATTATTACATGCACAATTGTAAATATTAGCAGTTGCTGTTTGACGTCAATTTTGTTGTAAGAATTTTTCTCCTTTAAGATACGTTTTTTGAATGATCAATTTAGAGTTTAATGTGATCTAACCTAGAGATAAGCAACGCAGTGAACAGTGAGTGATTATATATATATATATGTCAGGGTGCATATAGCTTAGAGTTTAAAAAAACTTCCTTATTGCTTTTTAAGAGCAAGATTCAGAGGACAGTCATTCAACTGCTGAAGATATGGAGAGCAGGAAGTCATTCCAAGACCAAAGGAGCAATTTATCTCACGCGAGTCCCTTACACATTGACAGAGGTACGTGCTATCCCTGGCCCCATCCACTATATCTTGCTAATGTTCCGTCTTCACAGTTTGCAAGTGTTCCTTTCCCACTTGTCTAATAAATGGGCAGTTTGTGTTCTACCTCCCAATCCTATAAAGCGAGCACATTACCCCATCTTCCTGTTTAATGTCCACATTAATAATACATCTTTGGCACTTCTTATTCACAATCGATAGAAGGAGATTTAAATCAGCAGTAAAAAGGCTTGTCCCCTCCAGCTTTCACCAGATAAATATTTAAATAACCAATTCAGTTGTTTAAAGAATGTCCTTCTCAGGAATACGTCTCACTTTTTGCAGACTCCTTTCCCTTCTAGGCGAAAAAAAAAAGGTTATAGTGGGAAATTTGCATAGCTCTCGTTTGCGTGAATGACGAGCGTTTGACTTTCACTTTACAATATGACATCAGATTTTTTTTTTTTTTGTGAACAAGTCAGCGCTATTTGACTCGGTATTAAATATTTACTGTAACAGCCGGTTTAAATCTTACAGGAAAACGATAAATAAGACAAGTAACAGGAGTCTTACCCAAGTAGTTTAATGAAAATACTCATAGCTATTTGTCTGTTTTCCCTTCCATTCTTGTCAATACCGCACTTCTTCCCGGATGTTATCCAGCTGAAGTCTAATCATCCCATTAACACAAAAATTTAGTATTTTATTAATCTCTAAAGCCAGCTTTACACAAAAAATTGTATTTCAGTGTTGAATGGACGCAGATACATTCAAGGCTCTTGTATCTCTTTGAAATTCCATTGAATGAACATCTGATGGTGTCACACTTCCCTGATAGATTCTCCATAATGTAAGAAAACCACCATTATGTCTGAGCAACGCTGCCATTATGTCTCTTTGGGAGGGTAGAAGTGCTAACCACTGAGGCTGAACCTGTTATTGGGGCCATCAAGAGATATAAGCCAGGAGGGTTTTTGTTCCATAGGTGACTATCTATCCAACTAAAACATCTGTTTTGGAAGGAGTTGGCTTTCAAAGCACAGGTACACCCAGGGGTGGAAAAACTATTATGGCATTCAGGAGCAAGTCTGTCCAATCCAAGAGCCAGCAGGATTTTTTGGGGGGAGCCAGCTTCATTGACAACATTTAGAGAAAACCTCAAAAATTAGGCACCAGCTGTATTTTTATGGAGCAGTGACTACCTGGCTCTGGGATTATTTGTCCAGCCCTGGGTGTAACTTTTTTTATGAAAATCCATGTATGGGTTCCCCCGACTCCCCATAGCTAGTATACCTAAAATCATATTTCAGATGCAGCATGGTCGCCCTGTACACTGACTGACTCTCTGCTGTGTAGGGCAGTGTTTAAATTCAATTTCCTCCATTTCTCATCTCTGTGGAAGTGCACGTAAACCCTGCCTGGTGCAGTGAGTGGTAAAGACGAATCTTGCTGCATCTGGCATCTGATTTTTGGTATAATACCTAATGGGTAGAGGACTTATTCATAAAAACAGTACACTTGTAGTTAATTTTGCGGTTATTTTCTGTTGTGAAAGGATCAAAGGCTCTCCTTCCCCTCTGTACTTGACAATTTAGCTAATATCATTTTAATGTTAAGAATGGTATTATGGTTAAAGGATCACAGTAAAGGGGTATGCTGTAAGTCCTTAACGTGAAGCCACATAAATTAGAATCACGCTAGCTATATTCTGGTCATGTAGGTTAGTCATAGCATGTAGCAAGACCACTGATAGGAAGTTAATTTTGGTGTGAGAAAAACTAAAACATCTGCTGCAGGATATTGCTGCTTTAATCGATAAAGACACTCCTTATTTTAATGGGTTAATTCTGCTGTTTCCTGCATAATAAGTACCACTAGATATGAACTGGCTGTCCACCTAGTTGTGGTCAGAAAGGCAAATGCTCATAAGCCTCTGTACGTTGCAACCTCTACTGACCCCTATTGCCAACTGATTTGAAGGAAAGAGTTGATAAATTATGATGGAATTTTTCATCAGCTCTCTTTCTGGTTTTCCTTCAAGATCAGTCAGCTTAAAGCTAGTCTTCGGGTTGTCTTCTTCCCACATCTACAGCCATAAAAATGCTTTGTCAGGTGTCAGAAATGATGCATTTCTTTTAAAACTGCCAAATATCCAGCAGGTTTACAGCAGTTTTAGAGGTTTTACATACGATCAAGCCTTGTTTGTATCTTAGCTCACATTTGGATTAAGCAGTGGTGTTTCTTTCCACTATCAGAATTTCCTTGTCAGGAAAGACATTTGAAGGCCAAGCTATGTCTGTCCCCTTCCGGCTCTGATGTCTTTGGGTAGTTTAACCCAGGACGCATGTGTAAATAATATACCTTCCACAAATGTTTGCAATGTTTTCGCCTTTTATCGATTATTAGATGATATGTATGGACATACAAATGGTCTTAGGTAGCCTGGTTTGCTTTTCAATTTGTTATCATGTTAACCAGGGAGAAATGAACAGTGAAAATGATTTTAGCTTCATGGTAGTGTCATGCTTAGGACTCATTCACACGGGCCTCCTGCATTTGGTTTATTGCAAGAAAAATTGATCTGGGAAGTATAGTGTTTGTTTTGTGTCCATATGCAAAATGAACTTGCATGTGTTTACACCCGTTCAGTGTATCTAATCTGCCCACGGATTTCTATTGTTCTAAATGCAATAAACTGAATGCACCTGAACGCAAGTCAATGCACAGAGTGAATTATAGCATTTGAAAATCATTACATGAATTTATAAGCATTTAGAAATGTCATATGAATGCATATAATCGCATGTATGTCATTGATGAGGCCTTAGGCAGGATTTCTCTGTGTATTGGTTTTGTTGTGGCGGTAAATGAGAAAAAGAAGATTATTTTTACTATAATGTGTTCAGAAATAGCGCAGTTCAAGACTAAGCCAATTAAATGTTGTCATGTGTCTGCTTTTAGAATCTGAAAGCATCTGATTTGCTGTTAGTCAGTGTTGCAGTTTTACCTGTACACTCTTATGGCTTTAAACTGCTATCATTAAATACTGAGTCTTGTACCAACTATACTGTTTATCAGTGAGGGGATTAGGAACTGTCTCCATACAAGTGCAAAACGCACTTGTATGCGTTTTGCACTTGTATGGTCCTATCATTCAGCTTGATATTACATTTTTAGACTTTATATATTTTCCTAATAGGCGATGTCATTTAAATGCACTGTGAATGAATTACACCGTGAATGAACTGAACATATACCAAGCAATGTCTTTATTGCAGCTTCAGAATAAAGGGCTGATGAGGTCGATGTGTTTAGTATTGATTGTTCTACTGAATTGCTCTTTTCTTTTTATTAATAAAATGCAGCATGTACCTTTTCTTTAAAGAAGTATTACTATTCATGTTTTCTACTCACAGGCGAAGAAGACAGCCCAATCGATGTCACTGGCACACAGTTTGTAGAAAAAGATATTGAGAACATGGCAAAAGGTGGGTATATTTGTCTCCTGTAAACCTATAGAACATTTCGTCCTGTCCTGTCCAGCGGTCTGGCTTTGCATGTATTGAACTTAGTGGCCTCTTCTTTTTTTTACTACTATGATTGGGAAAACAAAAGTGCAGGTTCAGACAAATGTTTTTCATCTGTAGCAATATTAGCCCTAATCAATACCTATCACAATATTGCTGTGTGGTCAGACTGCTTGATCTATCAGCCATTAAATTGCGGTCCCAATTTGAGTAATTCTGGCTATAGAGAGCTTGAATTTAAAATAATTCTTGCTGAACTGGCTGAAATGCAAGCAATGGGTGGCCCTGTGAGCACCACTCGGCTCAACAGATGTCAACTTTAAAATGACTGAGCTGGGTAGAAAATTATCAGCCAAACAGCGACTGCACCCTCTGAGATGCAATCAATTTTCCGCTGTCACATGTATAGTGTCACAATAGAATGGCAGTGACTCGGAGGTGGAACCGTCCAGTGTCATTAGTGCCTCTCCCGCACTCATACAGGCTGATTGACTGCATATACCTCCCTGTTTCATGTCTACTAAGTAATGCACAGCAAACACTACTTCACATGTTACCGTCTGAAGCCTCCTTAGTGATCCTTTTTTTTAGGCTGTGTCTTTTGGATCATAAATAGGACAGATTGTTTGTTCTATCATCCTCTTCAAAAATAATTTTACAATTTATTAAAGTTGATTAATGCAAGTACAGGGATTGTTTCTGCTGAACTATGTCTTTATTTTTTGCCTTGACATCTTTTTTAATAGTACTTTGCATTTAAAATTCAACATTAAACTTTGGGAGGCATACAGGTAGCACAGTCTATCTGCTCAGTTCTCAGATTATTCATCCAGGCTTTGCTGGAGTGCCCCAATCCCCCTAGTTGGTAATCTGGTGAGCTGCCGGTGTTTTTTTAATCGCCTTCCTGCCAACTTGAAGCATTACATAAGCTTCCCAATCATCTGATCACTGTGATTGGTTGTCACAGTGATCTCATGGTTGGGAGCCCATCCTACCGGTTCCCGATCATTACTGAGTGAACGGGAAGTGTCAGTGACATCACAATCAGAGTGCAGCGGGTGCACGTTTAGGCATGCTCCCAGCACAAAACATAGACCCATGTATGATGCTGCTACATTTATGTGTAAGGCCAGCGTTAAGGAGTTATAGAGAAAAACTATTCCCAAACACACTGCTGCCTCTCACATACAGAAAACCTCCAGGTAAAACAATAACAGAAACCAACAGTCAGATTTAAACTCCCCTTGAAAGTTTAAATGAGATCGGTGAAACAGAACAGAGCACAGTGTTCAGGGCGTTCACTTCCTGTGACCTCTGATGTGACAGGTATATAATGGTGTATTCACAGATCCCCCTTATGTAAGTTCATGCAAACAGAAGAGCTGTGCTAAACAAATGGGAAGCTGGCTTTACTTTTCATAATGTCCATCATGCCAAGCCCTAGCTAGATAAACAAAGATGAATGGTGACAAAGGAGACATTAAAGTTAAACCTGGAGACGACCATTGCAGACCTCTCCTGAAAGTGCTAGTTTCTTGTGTACCATGCTGATACAAAAGCATCAATAGTTGGTGCCACCACCAGGAGCAAGTATGCAAATCAGAAGTGGTGCTTTTGCTCTGACCTTCTAATGCGCATGCTTGGGTCAGTAGCTCACCCAGTCTTAAAGCTAGAGAGAGCCAGGCAGATAGGACTTCAGGAGGAGGTCAGAGGTGGCTGACCTCATATTTCTCTCAGTACAGGTTTCCTTTAATGACCTTTGTGCGCTACGAAAGTTGTGTGCTTGAAAACGATCTTTGCAAGCTATTACATTGACAGCTAGCTTTCTATTTCGAGGTCACTTGTTTATTTGTGCAAAATACTTACATTTCTACTTCTGTAAAATGTACAGTACATTCATTCAATAGAAAACTGTTCCCTACAATTAACTGTCCACAGAAAACATATAGACAAATAGAACAGCTGCATGTGAACCTTAGGGGATTTGCTTGTTCACACCATGTCCATTGAACTGCATTTTCCTGCACGCCGCCACACACAAAGAGTGTAAATAGAGCACAAGGAGAATAACTGTTTTCTGTATGCCCTGTACACACTATACATGTGCTGTGGTGTGCAGAAAAAAGCAGCTCAATGGACATGGTGTGAATAGGTCAATATAGACTGTCCACTTTGCAAATAATTTTGTACTTAGCTTAGCGAATGTGGTGAAAATTCACTTTACAAAGAATACCCAATCGCATGCAAGGGAAATGTAAAAAAATTTAATTTTTGCTTGCACATCATTGGCTGATTGGAAGTCAGCAGATCTTTAACTCATTCACTAAGCTAATTAAAATGTTTACATGCAAAGTGAACAGCCTATTTGCCTTTAGTAAATCAACCCTTTAGAGTAGTTTGTCAGCATATACCAGTCGTTTATTTTTTACAACACTTCTTATTGTTTATCATGTCTCTCATTTTTTATATTCGGCTCAGTTAATTAGTAGATCTGCACAGTAAGGACAGTTTCTGTTTTCTGTGTCCTGGAATAACCAGTTGATGAATCACAACAATCAGGAACACGTTAGCAAGTGTCAACCAGGAACACGTTAGCAAGTGTACCCTGAGAAATGTAGCGTGCGTGATCAGGGAAAGAGCCGCCTTACTCTATCTCACTGGTAGTCGATGTTTGATTGGCATCAAATGGATGATAATTGTCCAGGCTTGTAGCAGCTGTCACACAGTAACCTCATCAGCTTTTTTATGTGGTCATAAAACAACTATACTTTGGCCCCTGTGTGACCAGGAAGATGGGTCTGGAAGGTCAGATTTACACATTGGTTAGATCTGATCATAAGCTTGTTTGGAAACATCCATAATACATGTGTGTTTTTTGGCCTTGTTCTGCATAAACACCTTACCGTAGAGTAGCTTTGCCATATGCTAGCCATACATATGGCAATTTTCAGCTATTGAAATAATTTCTGTTCACATTTTCATATGAAAAATAACCAAATGGATCAAAGCAACCTACCACTACCATCAACATAATGAAAGGGGTAATTTGCTAAAAGCAAATGAGCTGTTTACTTTGCTAGGGAAGTTCCCCATATGCTATGGAATGGGGTAAAACTCTGCTGACTTCCATCAGCCATACATATGCAATCATGACACTGTTTTTAAAATTTACGTTGCATAAGGTTGGGTATTCTTTGTTAAAAGAGAACTATGGGGTAAGTGTTTTTCCCCAGAGTTCTCTTTAGGGTCATGGGAGGACATATAGTAACCTCCTCCCGTGACCCAAAGCTCAGTATATAGCAAGCTTTTGTCCGCCATATACTGAGAGCGCCGCAGCTGGGACGGATCCCGACAATACTGTCTGTATCCACCCAGCTAGCTGATTGACAGCGGGCTCTGCCTATCTGGAGGCAGAGCCATCTGTGCCCAACCCCTTCCTTGTCCGTTCCTCCACTCAGTGCTGGAGGATCAGTGAGGGGAGGGGGGGAATCCCTGCGTGGAGCGGTGACTGGCAGTTACCGCTCTCTGCAGGTAGATGATCGGAAAGTAAGCGAGCGACGGTATGTGTTCGTACACGTAACGATCAATAGAGCAGACGTGTGACAGCTTCTTTGTCACATGTCGGCTCTAACTATGAGGATGAGTGGAAATCACTCACCTCATAGTTCTCCTTTAAGTACATTTTTACCACATTAACTAAGCTAAGGGAAAATTCACCTGCAAAGTGTACAACCTATTTGCCTTTAGTAAATCACCCACAAATAATCAAAATTGAAGGTTATTGGTTGCCTTGCTTATTTGTTACTAGAGCTCTGAGTTAATGGCCAACCATCCATCTGCCAGCCCTCTGTCCAATAATTATGCCCCCGTGGTCAATAAGGGCGGTCTTATTGGAGTGGGAGAGCAGTTGGTGGGACATAGGCCTGAAGTCAGGAAAGTCAAGCTCCTAATAACTGGTTTTGGAGAAGCACACAGAGGAGGTATTATTACCTAACTAAGGCAACAGCAGACAATTTATACTGTCTACTCTTAGGAGGGACTAAAAATGGCCCCCTTGTTTGCTTTAAAACTATGTCAGGCAAATCCAGTGAAGTAGTTCATAGAGCAATGATCTAGGAAAGTGCCATAACTCATAAGAACCACTCAAATCTGACTTGTCATGACATTGAAAGATATTTTGTGGTAGTTGTTATGGCACTTTGACCATATAACTTGCCATGTGAAGTAGGCCCATAGACCTGTAATGCAGAGCTGATAGTTCAGACTGATGATTTCAGTGAGTGCATGTGTTTTGTGAAAAACTTCCTCACTGACAGATTCTTTTCCACAGATGAGCTGCAGAAGCTTTTAATGGAGCAGATGGATTTAAGGAAAAAACTAGAACGGGAATTTCAAAGTCTAAAAGGTATTTAGCTCACTGCCAAACCATTGATGGTTCAGTGGTAATTTTAAAGTGAAACTCTAGCCAATTTGAAAAAAACATTTTGGAAAGAGTGGGGAATGGTTATATGTGTTAACTGCACTGTTACAGCAGCAGGAGTTACAGGGACATTTCCTACTGGGGACAATTTCATCACTTCCTGTTGTGCCACCAGTACAGGAAGTGAAGAGGAATCTCCCGGACAGGGACCCAAAAACACGTAAAAGCCCCACTCTATCCAAAACTAAAAAAAAAAGTATAGCTGGGATTCCACTTTAATACCTGCATTCATTACACCTGTACACACTCATAAGTTGCATTTCTTTGTTTTTCTTGCTATCATATTCTACACTGCCCTGTCAAATGCATCTCTGTCAATCATTGTATGTGTGTGCGCTGTTTGTATGTATGTGCGATTGTGTATATCTAGTTAGCATCCTGCCAGGGAGACTTTCCATCATTGATTTTTCTAGGTTGTCATAGTATACTCTGACTAGAGTGCAGAATCCAGTTTAATTTAGGCACCATGGAAAATCCCTTCTCCAAGAGCTTGCCTTAGGAAAATAAAGTTTTATCTACAATATCTATTATTTGTCAAACACAAGTGACATTTTTGTAAAAGAGCCACTATTACTATGCACAAATGTGCAGTATATGAGGGCAGTCTCATAAATGAGCCAAAATGGAGAGGTCTATTTCCCATCCATGCTCTCACGCTGCTTCCCTACTCCATTGGAGCCCTTTCCATGGGGTATGAAGAAGCATGTGACCTCCCCTATCTCGTAGTTCTCTGGTCTGAGCAGCCAATTGCCAGGCCTGAACATGGGCAGGGCAGTTACATAGTTACATAGTATTTGGGGTTGAATAAAGACATACGTCCATCAAGTCCAACCCATATAGGTCCACGCATCATCTCATTCTTAGGGATACTGGTAACCCTGGATATTACGGTCCCCCAAGAAATTGTCCAAACATTTCTTGAACAAATCTACACTCTTGGCTGAAATCACTGCCGATGGCAGTGAGTTCCAGACCTTAACCTGGGCAGGGCAGTGATATAATTTACTCAAGTTAGGTCTGACACTGGCACTTAACCAGGAGTGGACTTTTGTATCAGGGAGGCAGAGAGTGACTATACACTGGTGAATATTATTTGGGGGGGGGGTCACTGTCACAAAATTTGATCTTAGTTATCTTTACTGCTAAGAAGAGCTGTGCTTTAGGTTTGCCTGCATTTTAATGTTAGGCACATCTCACAACTGGAAAGGAGGACATCACGCCTATCAACATTGATTTGTCCTCCCTCAATTGATATGGCACAGGTGCTTTATTATTATTAGTTGCATCTACGTTAGGGCTTCCAGTTATATTACCTATTAATTTTAATAAGACACACTGTGCCATAGTATTATTGCTATATATAGATATATATATATACAGTATATATACCTGAAACCCAAAGCCCACTGAATGCAGTTTTGGCTGTGACACCTAAAGGCTGTGTTCTTGTGTTCTGTACTCCAGGATCCCCTAATAGACCTATATGATGATTAAATCAAGACAGTCAACAATTGGCTGAATATTTGTATGCAGATCTGACTGAGCAAGCAGGGATTATGCAATGGCGGAATCCAGGCCATTGTTATGGATGAATTGTATGATTCTCTGTAGAATGGACAAATCTGTGTGTGTATATTGAGGCAAATAAAAAAGATTATAGCTTGGTTTGCCAACAGGATGTATTTTAGGAGTCAGCTTCATTGACAGCAGCTAGAGAAAACCTCAAAGATAGGCAACTATAATTTTTAAGGCTCCTGGGATTTGGTCAGCCCTGGTTTCGGGATAATGTGGCACAGCATAGCTAGTAATCCAACATACTCTTAAGAGATATAATGATTTGAATTCTAGAATCTATGAGGAACTTTTCATTGTTAACTGATCACACCCAGGATTCTGGAGCTCAGGGAACAGGAAAAAGGAATGATTCATCAGTCATATTCAGTTATAGTACACATGGGATGGGAATAGATAGAAAAGGGTAACATGTAAAAAGCAATATCAGAATTAATCTATGTTAACTTAATTAAAGGAAGCATGTCATTCGATAAGTATTGGAGCTTCCATTTGCTCTCCTCCTTCTGGCTGTCAGATTGACCCTTTATGACTTTGTTTTTGACCTGCACCAAATAGGCAAATCAGAAGGTTTGCCTTCTCTTGCTGCGTGCTTTTTTTAACTAGCATTTTCAGAGGGGGGTCAGCAATGGCATCTTACCTGTTTCTGTCAAGACAAGTGAACTGTAAAGTACCTGTAGAAACCTGTAGAAACTAGGGAAGAGGTTGGTCACAAAAAACTACTGTTGCACATGTGTTGTACATGTGGCCCATGTACCAAGGTGTGAAGCTGATTTATTTGATAATACTAGAGGATAATGATTAGCTGAAATCTTCCAGTATGGCTGGTTATCTGTTGTAGATGTTTTACCCTATAGACAGATTGCAGTTAAGGTGTCAGACAACAAGCATCTCCTCCATGCCCATCCTAAAATATACCTAAAGCCAAAAGGTTTTTTTTCCCCCCAATTTTGGATGGATTAGGGGAGGGGTAAAATCGCTGTCACATTTATTTTTTTGCCGTGTCCCATTAGAAAGATTTTCCCTTTCTTCCTGTCCTGCAGAGTCAACTGGATGTGAGAGCATATCTTTCCTATGTGAGGAAATTGACCTCTTGGACAGGTGTTCCCATTAGAGATTTTTTACTTTATTTCGGTTCTGGCAGCTCAAAACTTTGGATTTACCCTCACTTTCATTCCTGGTGACTCTGGTGATGAGGACAAATAGAGTGGGTTAATCTCCCTAACAGGGGCACACAGCTAAAAAAATCCAAAGCTAAAAAAAATGCCTTTAGTTATACTTTAAAGGAATTTTCTAAAACAAAGTGGACAATCTTTTCACTTATTGGCCTTTAAAGAACTGCAGTTTGTTCTCTGCCCCTGAAAAATTAGCTCTTTGTATTTTCTAAGGTATTCAGTGTGTAGCATTGGAATTAGGGATGCACTGATATGGGTATCGGTGCCGATACTGAGCATTTGGGCGAGGGAGCATTCCTGGCCAATCAGGAAGCCGGGCGGGGATCATGACCTACCACCCGGCTTCCTGATTGGCTAGGAAGCCGCCTGCACACTGCCTATCGACACTGCAAGACAGCCTGGCTTCCTGACCAATCAGAAAATCGGGCGCACGCTACCTCAGAATTCCGATATCGATACCTGGTATCGGCAAGTACTGATAAAAAAATATCAGTACTTGTACTCAATACCAAAAAAACGGTATCAGTGCATCCCTAATTGGAATCCCATTGTATTCAGTAGGTTTCTAAAGCCAGTAAAAAAGTAAAGAGCATTTGCTCCACTTGCTTGCTAAAATTGTTAAACTCCTTTAAAGTGACACCAAACTCAGAATCTTAAAAATGCACTCAAGTACCCTAAGTAACAAAAAATTATCTTATTTGTATATGACTCAGCTGTAGATCCTCAAATCATCTCTGAATTGGTAATAATACTGTCCCTCCTTCTGGAGGGTGGCTACTTTTGTTCCCCATGGTCCCCGTGTATGTTGTAAAGTAGTCACCGCTCCAAGCTCAATCCCATGATGGACTACAATCTTTTGTTTAGTTTACTAATTTGTATTGTGATTATAGTCCATCACGGGAGCAAGCTTGGAGAGGTGGCTACTTTACAACACACATAAGGACCATGGGAAACAAAAGTAGCCCCCCTCCAGAAGGAAGGACAGTGTCAGCACCAATTCAGAGATGATTTGAGGATCTACAGCCGAGTGATACACAAATAAGATACATTTTTGTTAACAGTTAGGGTACTTGAATGCATATTTAAGATTTTTGTGTCACTTTAAGTTGTGTGGCACTATGCAATCCAGACTCAGTACAATACACCGTGGTCAGCACATTACTATACATATGCAGTATACCCATGTAACTGCCGTCATATCTTTAGAACAGAGGGAATGACACTTGTAAAGATGTCATCACCTAAGAACAGATTAGAAATACAAGGGAACACAGGATCAGACATTCATTGTACATTCATCCCCTTGCTCCTGCAGGCAGCACAGGCATTAACATGTTGCTCTTGTTACTGTTACAACAATACTTCTTTAGGCTAAAGAAAATTAATTAATTTAGAGTTAAAATGCAGAAACTGCGAAAGCAAAGACATATATTAGGTCTCGAGTGGCCTGTTCCCAATCACACATCCATGTCCCATGCTAACACCACGGGCAAGATTAACATGAGAGCCATGATTCCTGTCTTCACAATGTCACTGCATGAGGCAAAGCCCCGTAGTAGCTTCTGGTGGCAGAGTCTGTAGCTGCTTGGGGGTGTCAGGTGCTGACTGTACCGGCGAATGCTCTATGTCCATTTACACTCATTTCACTAATGTCTTATGCCTGTATATATATTGGTGTACGCTGTTCTGATTTCTGCCCTCTCTTCCTAGACAATTTCCAAGACCAGATGAAGAGGGAGTTGGCATACAGAGAGGAGATGGTCCAGCAGCTGCAGATTGTGAGAGGTAAGCTATTCCGCCATCATCTGATGCTGTTTACAATCAGCTCCTTCATCTAGGTTTAAATGCAAGGTAATTTAACAATTATTTTTTCTTATTTAATATCCTCTGATTAGCCTAAACATAGCAAACAAGCCTCGCTTGGGCCTTGCAGGCACCATTACCAAACAGTGATTGAACTACTCTGCACACTAATTTGCATGGGTTTCTAAATTAAAAATCGAGGCGTAAAATTACCTGCGTGTTAATGCCTGCGATTGTGTTTAATTCTGCTCGTATCCATCTGCCTCCCAGCACAAAATCACAGGCAGTGTCCTTACTGTAACTCACTTCTAACAAACTGCGCTGCATTGTCTCACTGAGCAAGGTGCTTTTAACCCAGTCTTGTCTGTAGAGGCGTCCTCCGTGCCTGTACTTAGAATTGGCGCCTTTTAATGCATGTAGTCTGATCTATATCACGGCAAGTCAATAATAACTGACTGAGCCTAAAATATATTATTATATTAATGAATTATTATAACTCTGGTTGTACATGTGATTCATATTTTACAATGAACCCAATCTTTGGATGTGTCAAAATGTTTAAATGGTTCTGCTAAGGTTTTGCACAGTGATTAATGCAGTAGAAGGATGACTGTGTTCAGGCTGAGATAGGAGGCAATGGTAACCCTGCACTGTCTGGTGAGGAAAGGGTTGAGTATTTGGAGAAGAGCCTGTCATTGAGCATGAGAAGCTAAAGTCTCTTTTTTTTTCCCCAGACACCTTGTGTAATGAACTGGATCAGGAGAGGAAAGCACGCTATGCCATCCAGCAGAAATTAAAAGGTATTAACAAAGGAGACAGGAGAAAAGTGTGTCACAGAGCAATTTAAAGTGTATAAAAACTGTGCATACAGAACGAGTGGGACTCCATAGACACTGAGAATGTACCGTGAGCATTGGTGCTTTATAGAAGTGATTGTACAGAGAAAGAAATTAGGAAATTAGAGGCACACAGATAAGAGAGGACAACATTTGTAGAACAAACAGTGTAAGGTGAATGTGCAATTCAGTGACTGCTGAAAAAAACTAAAATAATTATGCAGGGGTTACCAAAATACTGCAAGGTATTGGGGATATACCGTACGTACGATGGAGGATCTATTAAAGGGCTATGAAGTAATGGGAAGGATGCAGAAATAGCTTACTAACAGAAGAATGGGGTTAATACAATTTTTTTTATTACAGGTATTTATTTAACACCGACAGTTTACGCAGTGCTTTACATCAGTCCTTGCCCTCAAGGAGCTTACAATCTAAGATTCCTATCTCACATACTTACATACAAGAGCCAATTTAGACAGGAGCCGATTAACCTAACAGCATGTCTTTGGAGTGTGGGAGGAAATCCACGGTGGCAGAGGGAGAAGTGTGACCAGTACACATACATATATACACACAAAAAGGCTTGGTTATATAACAATAATAATAATAAGCCCCTGCATAAAGCAGTGACATGCAGTAACCCATAGCATGTAGTACATTTTCATCTTTTATCAGCTTAGGACAGTCAGAACAATTAAATATTCTTGCTGATTGGTTTCTGCAAGTTATTACGCTTTGTATATTGCCCTTTGCTTCCTTAAAGAGACACTGTCATGAGATATTAATGGAGGCTCCTTGCAGATAGTGTTCTGGCTGGGATTCAAACCAGTGATCCCTAGTGCTGCAAGGTAGAAGCGCCAACCACTATGCTGCCCATTATGGTAGCCAATATGGTACAAATGCTATACTGCTAAAGTGTGACTAGTACACATACATGTACACACAAAAAGGCTGGTTATATAATAATACTAAGACCCTGCATAAAGCAGTGACATGTGGTAACCCATAGCATGTACATTTTCACCTTATATCAGCTTAGGATAGTCACAGAACAATGAAAGATTCTTGCTCATTGGTTTATATGAGTTACATCCATTTGTATATCGCTCTTTGCTTCCTTAAAGGGACACTGTCATGAGATATTAATGGAGGCTGCCATTACTGAATTCTCCTTTAGGAATGCTAGTTCCCTGGTTGTCATTCTGATACGTTAACTTTAAGGATGTTGTTGACCTGGAACAAGTATAGGGATAAATAATTCTGACACTTTTCTGACACCTATTTACAGCATGTTTGTGCCGGACTGTGACTGATATATAGTGAAGTCAGACATAGCTAGGCATTTAGCATTTCCAGGAGGCCTGCAATGGCACCCCCATACCTATTTCATGACATGACATGAGTCATATTAAAGGAGAACTACAGGCAATATACAAAATTCAGCAATAAAGGTGCACCAAAATCATACGTGAAGCCCAGGGATTTCTGTATTTCATTGTGACACAGATGGTATTATCTAAGCAAAAAAAGAGTACCATACAAAGTCACTGATACTACTTACTACAGAAGCTAGAAATTAGAGGTGACAGGTTTTAAATATTAATAAGGGCACTACTAAAGCTGACACATTGAAAAAAAAAACACCAAATGGATATAAGCAATATTTTTGTGCGTTGTCGTAAGTTTAAAGTACAAGTGGTTGAGTAAGGGAGGATACAACCCCCATCAGCTTTTTGTTTTGCCATCTGGGTCCCATTGCAGGGATTTTCCTTCACTTCCTGTCCAGTAGCCACAACAGTAAGTGAGAAAAAATTCCTCTAAATAGGGGAAATCCCTAGTGGCCAGCGGGGTCACCAGAACCAGTGTCCACATTGGAAGATTTCCTATCTATTCCTGTTCTGATGACAACTCAAAATGTGGGCTTTTTCTTCACTTTTATTGATAATGGTCACCACGACAAATATACAGTGAATCTACACAGACAGTAGTAAAAACCTGACAGGAGTTCTAATCCCTCTCCACTCTATGCAAAACTAAAAAAAAAAAAAGGTTTTGGCTTCAGTTGCACTCTAATAAAGAGTGATGTTAGCCCCTTGTAAAGTAGACATTAGATTTGGCATGTCCCTTTGCTTTCATCATACTAATGCTCCAGAATCCCTGTGTCTTGTTAAATATATGGATCCCGTTCATTGGCATAATGTAGATGTAATGTAGATTATTATGAATAAAATGCGTGTAGCTTGGGAGGAAAACAGACAATCAATGCCCGATCTATGTTCTCCATCTAAACTCCAATATTGTCCATGTGTTCTCTTCAAAGATGCTGACACCAAGAGCCTGCACAGAGAACTGTTCCTTCAAACCTCCAATCCTGCTCCACTGAGCTACATCTGGGCGCCACGAAAACTGATGTACCCTCCAGCCCCCTGAGAGAGACAGGGAATCATCTCAGCACAAACCAAGCCATTCCCTGCCTCTGGGTGAACGCAACATGTGTGAGACCTGTGACCGGCCGGGGGAAACCTCCCCTATGAGACAATGGGCGAACTTGTAAATACTGTACAGTAAACAGCAGGATGTCTGTGCACTGAGGAATCTGAGCCAGGAATGATCCCCAGATCAACCATGTATTATAAGGCTTTGTGTATAAATAACACATATATATAATATAAATATATAAATATATATATATAAAAATGATTCTTGCAAAAAAAGTTCAATGTATTAATTGTTTTAACTCCTATTCCGTATGTTCCCACTGAACATCAAAAGTAGCAGAGAGGGTGTTCTTCTGGCACCAGAAGACATGTGACACTGGTGGAAGAGTGGCCACGTGCAATGGATATCTATGTACTGTGATTCTTATTAAAGCAGTATTTTTTTAAGTTATTGGGATTATTTTCTATATTTGTTTGGTTTTACCATCTTTTGTATTTTGGATGATGTAATAAGAGCACTTTAAGGAGAAATCCGCCAACTTGTGTACAAAACAGAAACTCCATTTGTTCTAAAGGTAAAAAAAAAAAATGTATAAGTGAATTTTGTTCTTAAATAAATGAAACTTGCTGAATATGCCTCCTTTGTACTTGGAGTGGTAGACTGGATATTGCACAGATATTCTGAGTGGACCTATACTGTTTTCAGATGTGACACTGCCCTGCCAGAGTAGTGATATCATGCTTGTAAGTAAAGTAGCAACATATCACCGAACACAAAAGAAACACTTTTCCCAGTTTTGGTGAAGTTACACGGGGTACTTTTAGGGAGAACAATAAAATAAAATGTTTGCCATAGGTTTTCAGAGACATAGATCTTCCGAATAAGTGACACTTTCACATTTCTTTTTACCATCTACCAAAAACAACATGTTTTTGGATGGACAGCACATACAAACACTTTAGTTTTAGTTTCCATGTCCAAAACAGATTCATAGTTCCATCACTGGAGCTTGTGGGTACACAACATTTGGCATCCAACGTAGTACCCCTCTGCCAGGATCACCCCTAACCTAGCTTAGAATAGTATGGCAATGTGTAAACAAGCTTACAGTATATGACATGACTGCATTTCTACTAATAATGGGAAAAAAGTGACAACTATACAGTTGTAAAAAAGTGATAACTATACAGTTTTCACTTAAAATGACACTAAACTCAAGAGTTAAATCTTAAAAATGCATTCAAGTACCCTAAGTATTAACAAAAATGTATCTTATTTGTGTATCACTCGGCTGTAGATCCTCAAATCATCTCTGAATTGGTGCTGACACTGTCCTTCCTTCTGGAGGGTGGCTACTTTTGTTCCCCATGGTCCTTGAGTTAAACATATTAGGTTCTCCCTTTCTACAGGCCTACAATGCCTAATGGTAAATTCGGCCCTGCCCCAAACTATTATATTTCCATAGCAAATATGATAATTATTTTTGAAGTGAATTGTGTTCACTTTATGTCTTTACAATTGTTTTTTTTCAACTTCAGCAACTAAGTATGCAAGCCAAACTTTGAAGTGAAACTTCAGTTTAGTTGAGAAACATTCAATCCACTCCAAGTGAACTTTCCAGTTCTTAAATTTCTCTTTGCTGGGAAAAAAACTGCCATTTTCCTGTACTGATATCGCATATAGCAGTGAGAGAATCCCACAAGCAGGAAATTAGCTTTTTGGGGTATTTCTCTGTACAAACAGTGTAAGGAAGGCCTCCAGGTTGCCATTTCTCAAGGAAAAATAATTAACATTTTTATAAAACCATAGTGGCTGTGACTGAAGCAGAAAGCTAATTTTTGATAACAAAAAATTACAAAAAGTAGAGTCTAGCAAATGTTAAATTAGAATGGCTAGTCTAGTTAATATATATTCTTTTTTTACTAAAATTTATATTCACTCTAGGGGTGCCTTTTTTTTGGATCAACATTGCAGAACACTCAGGAGACCTCCCCTGAAGAAGTCAATTTTACTGGCTTTTCACAGGTCGCTTATAGTGGAGGGTCCTACTGGCTGCACTCCTTTTCTAAACATGAATTAATAACTATCTAGTGTTAGTTATCCTGATTCAACTTCAAGTGGGGTTGCCTGGTTCAACTTCTCCATAAAAAAGTTCACTCCTTGTGGACCTTTGACAAGATCCTGTAGTTTAGCAGATTATTACCTGTTCATCCCTTTGGGGTCTGTGGGATTGTTGGGGAATTTCCTTTTTAGCAAGGTACCTGCTTGACATGCAGTCTCAAAGTCTTGTCAGTTAGGGAGTCAGGAATTTGGGCAAAACACCATGCTGGTCTCATCAGACGCCACCTGGATGATTTTCCCTTATGGATGTATCCTCTTGCCTCTCCAGAAGAACCCGTTCTTGAGTCGTCAAAGGCTCCATCTGTTGGTTGGTCTTTTGATGTGACCTCCGCTAGACTTCATCTGAAGGCTGTAAGAGCTTCACCTCTAAAAAAAGGTACTACTCAATATGCTAGTCAGGGTTGACTGTGTTATTCAGGACCACACTGTCTTTCCTAGAGTCAAAATATTGTCTTCGGTTCAGGCAGGTTTGCAGTGTGGCTTCCACACCCTGAAACACCTAAGCATTGGTTGGAAGGAACCCTTCTCATCCTTCTAGTCCCGATGTCCTGGAGTACCCTTCACTTTTTTTCCCAGTTTAAGGATATAATTTTCCTTCACTCCATTGCGATTTTATGCTGTGTGGGCTCTCACTAGGAATAAGCTTCGGGTTCAGGATGATGGTGAGTTTGATTTGAACTCGAGCTGTTCTAGGTTCACAGAACAGATAAACCAAATGATCAGTTTTGGTCAGTTCGCTCGCTTGAACCTACTGATTGATTAAGTAGCAGTATTCTGGATTTTGGGGGGCCCCATACCTTTTTTTTAAAAAACACAAATGTATTTAGTTTTTTTGTGTGGGGTCTCAAAATTTTTTTTTTTTATACTTGACCCTCATCAAGCATACTGTAAGGGCCTGGTATAAATGTTGCTGACATTTCCCAGCTGCTCTCTTCTGTTTTTAAACCAAGTAGCCAGGACATGTAATTTAGTGGCATTAGTATTTTATTTTATTTCCAAATGTCATTTTGCAGGAGTACACCTACAGGTGTGTCACTTTACCTGCAGGTTTAATTCATTTTCGCAAGCATGCTATTTTAATTAATTATGTATTTTTATTCTTGCCATTTAAGAGCTGCTAACCGCTGAGCGGTACTTCTTCACATTTTTTTGCATTGGCAAATATCCCCCATGGCTGTGCCCAGCTAACTTTGTCATCTTTAACAAAAGCTTGCAAATTGGCCTTGGAAAATGGCAGAAAAAAATTTAAAGACTTGGCTCACATAGACTTCAATGGGGTTTGGGCACTATGTTTGGAGTTTGTGGGTTTTTTAATTGTTCAACGAACGTAAAACAAACCAAACTTTGCTGGGTTCGCTCATCAACAACTGTCATATCTATGGATATCTCACTAAGATATTAGTGGTCTACCAGGTATCATCCTTTCTTATCACTGACCTCCCTCCCCCTGTAGTCAAGGGTTAGGAGTATGCAGCTTAAGCCTCTGGCTGTTGGCTTTTCTCCAGACCTGCTATGTCAGCCCTAGCTTCCTTTGCCTGAAGTCAAGGGTTAGATAAGCTAGGCTTACGCTTTTCCTGCAGTTGCGGTTTTTGGTTATTGGAAATAGAATGTCTATAGGTATTTCTCCTTTGGGATTTTTCTCTGTGTGACTTTGCCCAGTAAACATTTAACTTTTGTTAACTACATTAGTTAGTCTCTGGTCTCCTTCTTTTCAGGCAGTGTGCTGTTGTACCCATTTTTGGTGGATGGTTGCTTGGATCTCCACTTCGGTAATTGAAGCCTATTGTTCCTTCAGGTAGCATTTTTTCCCTTTATTGGTGATTCTCTGTTCTGGCCTGGAGCATCAGGTTGATCCTAGGTGTCCTCCCCTTGGCCACTGCACTTTCCACATCTGGTTGGCTATGCTTTAGTCTTTGTTCAAGCATTGATTCCTTTGAAGCATTATGTCATGATCAGGGATCAGGCTCAGAGTCCATTAGCTGAAACAGCAGGCAAATTTGTGGTATAACAGGCCGAGTTTGGTACACAAGCAAACGGTAGTAGTATAGGAGCAAGCAGAAGTGTAGTCAAAGAGCAAGCCAAGGTCAGTAGCCAAAGGTATCAGGTATGAAGCAGAAGACGATGAGAGTAGTCGGTAAATCTGCAGCCAAAGTTCGGTACATTGGTAGCAATATGAGAGGATTGTATCACAGAAGGAGCAGGAAGCAAGATATTGGCAGGAGCACAATAATCTGGCAAACAGGAAGTGCAGAGGCATGGCTAAAATAGGAAGTTCAAGGGAGGAGCAAGGAGTTCAGCAGAAACTAGGTTCACCTGAGGATTACACATGAGAGCAGGCAAGGAGCTATCCAAGGAGCTATCCAAGGAGCTATCCAAGGTTTCAGAGTGGCTCAGCAGGTAGAGCCCCTGCCAGACACAGCAGAGGCCCTGGGTTCAGATCTGGATCCTGACACATTATCTCCACATCTGTTGGATCTCTTAGTGACTTTTTCTCTCCCCTCAGACTGCTTTTGGACATCTTGGCTATGTGTCCCTCATGTAAGATAAAAAAAATTAAGATTTTTGTACTTAGTGTAAAATGTAATTCCTGAAGTCCATTGAGGGACACAGGTCCTGCCCATCTGTGTTAAATGTTCTTGTACTGCTTGCTTACAAAACTGAAACACAATGCTTCGAGGTGGCGTTATAGGGGGGGCTGGCTTAAAGGTTTTTTTTTTTACCAGTGTTCCAACCTCCTGTAAGCAGCAGTATAACCCAATTGTTTAAGAATTTCTAACATTCCTGTGTCCCTAAATGGCCTTCAAGGAAGATTTTTTACACTAAATACAAAAGTCTTATCTTTGGATGGTAATTTCTTAATTTTAGGGTAGGTTTTAAGCCAATATTCAGACATCACAATTTTCCCTCCTATCCATTTATCCTACCCCCTTCTCATCCAATTAGCAGTTATCACCACAAAATACAGTATGAAGCCTTTTAATACTCACTTAACTCTGCCATTTGTGTCCCTCGCCAGCGTTGCTTCCAAAAGTGACCAGGATCCAGCTTGAATTTACAGCAGTCCTGAGATTCAACAAGGAAATTACCTTGGACAACACATCTTTA